CAACAGCTATCTCCACCCATAGGCCATGAGGGCTGCCCGCGACAGGACGGTGGGCACAGACAGGGTCATAGAAGGGTTGGTGCGTGGTCGCGGTGCGGCCGCTAGGGCAGGTTAGGCTTGTAGACCTCGACAAGATGAGTCGTCAAGCCACCCAAACTACTCTATTTTCAGTATATTCAAATGATCAGTGAAAATGATCAGTGAGAGGGCTTGTTCTTCTGTACTTCTCTGTCCCTCCCCGATGTGAGCCCTGCCGGCTCACTACAGCTCCTGTGATTTTCCCACAATTCCCACAAGCACGCAAGCACACCAGCACACACCTACCTTTGCATCAGTGGCTCTCTAGGTTCGGGCGAGGGTATGTGTGGGGCTATGATGATAGTGTATGTGTTACTACAGTACTGCTGTATGTTGGACTCGTCTACATATACTGCTGCTGCTGTGTAGTATAGCTGCTGACATGATGACTGCTGGATCTTGGGAGTGTGCGATTTTCAAATTTGGAGGATATGCAGCATACCACGATATCCTGGCCTGGTTGCGCTTGAAGTGCTCCTTTTTCTGTCCTCTTGTCTTTGCATTGCTTGCTAGACTCTGGCGAAGGCATGTACAATTGTATGTATGTGGAGTTATTGATGTGTGTCTCTGTGAAAGGATATGGGGAGAGATTCATGGTGGCATTTTCATTTAGAGCAGTGTGCATTTTTCGAATTTTGGCCGTTCCAGGGACCTTGATTGATTACCCGCTGGCGCTAACGTCTTTTCATTGGTCACCGGGTACGCGGTCGATGCGAATAATATAGATATAGACACACCTACCTATTGACTTGCCAACACCTGGCGTGGAGGGATACAGGGCGGCAACTCCATGGCATGTCACAACACCAGCATGTACAAATGATCAATCAATGTCAGGACGCCTGTAGACCCAAAAGGGTTAATGCGGTGGAATCGGAGTTTGTCATGATTTCACGATGAAATTCTCGATGATACATGTGTTGTGGGTTAATACGAAAGCCCTTTATCTCGAGAGCGCTCGAATGTAGCGCAGTAACAGTGCAATACAAATGCACTGGTACCACGCCGGCTTGGCACTTGATGTTGGATGCACCCAAAGTGCAGCAGTCACACATACATACCTTTCTTGCCCTGGTGATGGGTGTGCGAATTGCATCAACGATTACGATGTCGTCTGGCCTGTCCTGGGCGCCGGCCAAGGCACCCGACGAGGCCGAGAGGTGTGAGCCAATCACTTCCATCCGTCGTGCCGCTTCCATGGTGGGCGGGGAATGGTCCTGGTGGATAAGCCTGACGTGCGAGCTCGGCCGCGAGGGGGGGGGGAGGGGTCGAGGTGGCGCGAAAATACGAAGAGGCGTTCTTCGTGTTTGTCAAATTGAGGAATTGCACGTGCGAAATCCCTTACCGCGGCCCGGAACCCTTACCCTCTACTCTCTGGTGCATCTTCATCGTTCCGTGAAGGCGACCTAATAGCGTGTGTCTGTTGTGATTGTAGGTTGCCCTAGTGATGGGTGTTTCCTTTGTGTTCTCCGCGGCGTTGTTTGCCTGCCTCTCCTGTATTTCCTTCGCGCAATCTCCAGCCAGAACAACCGCACCAGTCCCGTTGCCATCGTCCTGCCCATCTCCAACAACTGGCCCAGAACAACAGCAGGATGGAGATGCGTGGACTGGCATGCCGGGAAGCATCACCGAGAGATCATTCTTTGTGAGTTCCAGAGTGTGTGTATAGAACGGAGTGGTCGACCAACCGCCAGCGACAGCCCGGTGGTTGGTGCACTTTGTATGAATTCACAGGAAGTTCGAACCCTGCAGACTTCAAACAGTCCCGCTCTTGGTGCCTGATGTGGAGATTACAGTACAGCAGTATGCGGCAGTACCAGGAGGCCAGTAAGCTTCCCTTCCCGAGATCCGCACCTTCCCGGTTCCTTATCTTGTTTGCTCGGTTGCCTGTACATTTATAGACTTTCGTATGATCCCACCGCACTCGCAACCGGCACCTATTTCGCTCGAGTTTGACAGATGCGACATGAACACGTGAACAAGTTTCCCGAAGGGCATTCCAGCCAAGGTCTGTATCGATAACACTGCCTGCGACGTGTATTCCCGTGAGGTACAAGACACATATGCATTGGGCACGTGAAAAAACGGAGGGTTTCTCCAAAGCTATTGACCCAGCAAAGACTTGGCAGAGAAAGGTCTTTCTGCTGTAAAGGAGTTCATTTCCAGCTGGCATGGTTGGTCTCTCGGTGTCCGAATTCCGGTACCCAGCAGATGTCGCTGAACCTTTCCTGCTGTCAAGACCTCAACCCGTCCCCTCAGAGGTTTGTTTTGAATAAGTTTTAGTTTTTTTCTGTCATGTTATGTGGTATACTGTTCTGAAGGAGTCGGAACGAACCGCCCGTGGTTGAGAGCAATACATTTCGTGTCACAAAGAAGCAACCGAAAAAAAACTTGGTTACCCCAAACACGACATGCAATTGTCCCGAGACGCTGCCTGTTCTGCACAGGTGGACCGGGAAAAAAGTAGAACATGACCATGAGGACCGCTCTATGAGCACAAATGTTGTCAATATGTTAGAATGAGGATTGTACCAGCCTTTTTCTATGTAGTCCGCGGATCCCCCACGACAGGCGCGCCGCGAACAATGTGAGGGCGTGTATATGCACCAACACGTACGCCCCCCCTCGCGCGCTGTGCTCAACTAGATTGCACATCAAGACAGCAGAACATTGCTGATCGAAGAAAAACATCGTAACGATTGCGCAGGCCATAAAGCCGGATGGTCTTCAGCGGGGTCTGGTCGGAGAGGTGATGTCGCGTTTCGAACGAAAGGTATGTGTTCTTTGTTTGGAAAAGGGTCGTTGCGGGCTTTTCTTCCAAGAGAGCGAACCATTTCGCTTGGGCCTGTGCCCGAAAAGACCTCAGCGACAACGGCGGTGCGGCTTCGATGCATCTATTGCCACGCCGCACGGGCCCCTCGTGAACACAGTCCGATGTAGAGCAAGCTCTGATAATCCTGTCGTGACGCCGCCGGGGTTGAGAGTGCCCCTGAGCTTCACCTTGGCGTTGACCGCTCAGCTGATCTCTTCCCCCAAGCACCCCTACGACATGTTCCCCACGGAATCTTCGCCTCGACAAGGCTTGTTTGTTTTCTTTCGGAGGTTGCTGTGTCCGGCGCAAGCAACTGACTGTCAAAATGTTTCCACCCCGCAGGGGTGGAAGCTGGTCGGGCTCAAGATGCTCACTCCCGGCCGACAGCTTGTGGAACGCCACTATGAGGAGCACGCCGACAAAGTGGGTGGGACGGTATCGTACTCGATGTACGCTGTATCAGAACAGGCGGCAGTCTTTCGAAGAGGCAAGAGGTTTTTTGTGTGCGCTCGAAAGGAGGTTGCGGCCCGATTTTGTTGTGTGTTTTTGTTCACTACACGTACAACCCGCCTCGTGCCCTCTAACTCATTAACTAAGGGGGGTTGAGAGTGAAAACAGCTTTCGGTTTTCATACTCAGGGCCTTTCTTCGTTCTTGTGCCCCCTGCCCGTCGACCACCTCACAACTCGTTGCCTGTTTCTGCCCGTTCTCTCTCGACCTTCCTGCCTTGACGTGTAGGACTTTTTTGAGAAGTTGTTGGACTACATGTGCTCTGGCCCGGTCGTGGCCATGGTGTGGGAGGGGCACAACGTCATCGCCGGGGGACGCAAGGTTACATTCTCGTCGATTTGTTGCTGCAGACGCGTGTGCCTCCCACTCCGCCACGCCCTGAAATCTCCGCTCGTCTAGTCTGCTGTCGTATGATGAATAGACGACCCAGGAGTAACACCAGTGTTCACCATCCAGTGAACCTAGTGCTGCAGAATTATTTGAATCTACACCTAACCTGACCTTATGTTCGGGGGTACTTAGTGAGAGTGCAAGGTTCTTGACAGGATAGGGGTAGCGAATTCTGCGACGATCTTTCTGTTTGTGCGCGGAGCGGCTACTGTATTGCGGAGGATTGCGCTCATTTTCATCTCCGCAAGCAGGAGAATGACACCAAACACGGACGGACACAAAAAACGCATTTTGTTTGTCCCAGCTTGAGAGCCGCGTGCCCTCCTGTGCTGCGTCTTTGGCCTGCGTGCCCCGCCTTTCGTCGTGTCGCGTGCCAGTTGTTGGGCGCGACGAACCCACTCGAGGCGGGAGCGGGCACAATACGAGGAGACCTCTGCACGAACGCAGGTGACCGCCTCCCCCCCCCCCCCCCCTTCCTCCCTTTCCTCGGTGTTGGCTGAGTCCTATTTGAACCCAACGGCGTGGCTTGATCATGGACCTAGAATTTCTGCAGCAGCCAGGTGTTGTCATATTTCTTTCGTTGATGGTTAAATTTCCGTTCAATCAGGTGGTTGATTTTTGTGGGGGTGCGTCATGCTATGTGTGCCTGCGGTGCTTTCGATTTGTCGCAAGTCGCCAAAGCCCCGTGTCAGAGCCAGCTTCCACTCTCTCTGCAGCTCGTGTTGTGTCTCGTCCCCATCGTCGCCCTTTGGTATCAAATGCGCGTCATCTTTCTCCTTTGTGTATTTCTGCAACGGAGCCAATCACTGCGGCGGTGTGACGTCGCCGCCGGCTGCGTAGCTAGCCGGGCTGCGCCTCTCCTTCCCAGCGTATCAGGAGATGTGACCTCTGGAGTCTCCTTCCCTTTCCTCGTTTTGGGTTTTTCGACATCTCCCAGCCTTGCTTCATTTTTTTGTGCTTGTACGTCTGGCATGTTTGTCTGTTGTGTGTCCGAGGGTCCCGACCAAACTGTGCCGAGGTTGAAATCATTCCAGCTGCTGGTGATAACATTCTTTCTCCTCGCACGCAAACATTACCACAGGGCGAAATCTCGTTCACGCTTCGGATGGGCCGGAGTCCGCCCGACGCGAGATAGAGCTGTGGTTCAGTCGGGAGGAAACCGTTCAGTGGGGTCGCGCAACGGATCCTTGAATATCCAAGAACCTTTAATAATGACTTGTGCAAAGGGTGGGTCAAAGCATATACCAGCTGTGGTTCGCGTTGCAGCCGGATCTGGTGTCGCCGATGACATAAAAGGTTTTTCAAGCTCGCAACCGGAGGGTCGCTGGCTCCCACATTCGACCAGAACCCATCTCTTCCTCGACAGACGTATTTGATGACGTCCTGGTCGTGTACGAGAGCTGGTGATTCTTGAGGTTACAAGCCCAATTGGTTGCTTGAAACGCAGGCTGTCAGTTGCGGTAGTGTTAAGTACTAAAGAGTCGTGATGGACGACTAATAATGTATCCGCACCTTTCGCTGTGGCAGCGGCCGGCACCTTATTTTGGGAGTGGGACTGGGCGCAGCTAGGGTCGACCTCATAGGAGCCGCAGCAGCGCCGAGTTGTCCAGCGACAAGCGTATTAGGGCGGGCATCATCTGACGATGATGGCACGTGGTTGCAATGCAAAACGGGGTGCGTAGCGTCAACATTCCACATTCTTCAAACGCCAACTTCACACCCGAGCATACGGTGTTGGTCAGACAGAAGTGGTACGTCACAGCGGTCCTTGTCAAGCCGATACAAGTGCCAGATAGATCAGTTTGACCAGTGCTGCCCGGACTCCGCACGCACGTGCTGGTGTGGCGCGTTTCGATTCTGCGGAGGTTTGCCACCAACGGATCTGTAAGGAAGGCCCAGGCCATGGTACTCGGGTTGCCATGTTCTAGACAGCGTTCACCCGGTGATGATGCTCCTGTCATATCCACCACTCGGAGCAGCAACCAAGGATGAATCCCCTATATGCTCTGATTTCAAATCCGGCAAGTACTGCGACGCCCTGCTCCTGTACTTGTAGATCACAGCTCAAACAGAGTAATCTACCCGATCAGTACCATCTTCGACCATCTTCGCCTACTTCGTGCTCTCGTCACGCCAGAATTCTCTTTGCGAGAACCGGGCCGATCCCGGGTATTCTCCTCAATTCCGCCTCTCCCGCTATCCTTGCTCCTTCCAGAGAGCCAAAGGTGATCGTGAGCTCGTGCCTAGCCTTGGAGGATAGTCCTGTGAGGATTTGAGAGTGAGTTCGAGGTGGATGAAGTCCGGACTCGAGCGGATAGACGACGAATATTTTGGTAGGAACGGATGGTTTCGACCATAAGTTTGGTGCATGATGCTGTTGCTATTGACTGCGCAGTACTTTTACGCTTTCAAGAGGGGCTGGGCGCGCACACCGCCCACTCTGTGAGTACACGTTGACACCAACAGCAGTAGAAATTAGCAGGCCCTGTTTCATAGAGAAATGCGTCAGGGTTTCTGCTGCGAGAAGAGCCACATGCACAAAAAGCATCACATACGAATGTGCGATGTGCGTTTAGTCACCCGTTCGCTAGAATGGGGGGACGTGACAACAAACAACAACCGAAATGTCGAACGCGAGGCTCAAAACATCGCGCAAGCCGGACGCAGAACGTCCCGCCCGGTAACAAAATGGTCATGGATGCTCGATGGCAACAAGGAACGCGTCCTCTGTCTATCGGCAGCAACGCCGTAGTGGCCAACACACCTGCGATGGCCGCGAAATCTTGCTGTCCACCGCCACCGTTGACGCTATCTGTTTCTTCCGTCGCAACAGTACCCCGTCCTGGCAGGAACATGTCGTTGCCACGGAGCTTGCGGTGGTACGCCACGGCAAAACGGTGGGCCTCATCTCGCACCTGCCGTGTTCAAGGGAAGTTTAAAACCCTAACCCAACGGGCAGCGTGACATCAGATCTACTCTCGACGGACTGGCTTTTGACAAGCCCGCGCAGCCTTTCGGACGACGGAACTGGCGACGGCGGGCAACCTTCTTAACAACGGGTTCCCGGACATGTCAATACATCGTGACTTAAAAACGATTTTCAAAGCCGCACAACACGGCAGGAGTGTCAGACAACTCCGTGAGAAATATAATATTTTCGCTTGAACGCCTTCCTCTGACCACAAGCTTTGAACCGCTGCAAAACTACTGTGTGTACATCGTGGTACCAAAGGCGGCGTTCTTTCTTGACCGAGAACGGTGCTCGATTGATGAGGGCAACAACACATCAGTTCGCCCCCATCCATTCCGCACATCCCCGCTGCGCCACAGTGGCCGTGACAGTATGGGGAGGTGGCTTTAGACGGCCTCACCCGGTTGCTCACCTGTCGCAAGCCCACTACCCCGTCCATGGCAGATTAATGGTCATGTGGCTCTTGACGGCCTCACTCGGTTGCTCACCTGCCGCAAGACCATTACCCCCGGCGAAGACGGACCCGCCTCGAGAGCGGCCGCCAGTGGTTCACTCGACCCAGGCACGTAAACCTCCTCTTCTTTCTTGGCCAAGGAAACAAACGTGACTCTCCTTCCCCCGCCGACGCCTACGCTCCGAGCACCTGCCACGTCCCCGTCCGACGGCTCCGGCGGGGGAACCGCCGCCGTCGACAAAACCGCGTCGGGGTCTTCCTCCTGGGCTGTCCTCTCCCCCAGCAGCGGGGGTAACGCCGACCAAGATGCTTCGTCCCTTCGCACTGCGTCGTCGAGGAGGGGCGTCCCGGCAAGCTCTCTGCTTTCTACCGGTGGTGCGCCAGGGGACTTGGTGTCAACGGCGGCCGCTGCGCCGACGGCGGGCTCGGTATCGAAGCCAGTGAGCGTGGTCGTTCCCCCACGCTCGACAGATAGCCACGCATCGGCCGCTATCGCGGCTCCTTCCAGGGCCGCGGCCAGCTGGCCCTTCCCGCCGTCGATGAGGACTAGCTCAGGCACCGGATTGGCTTGTGAGGGTGGCCGTGGCGATCGAAGAGAGGGAGTCGGAGGCGAAAACCGTCGGGCGATCACCTCTCTCAGGCTGGCGTAGTCGTCGGAATGCCCCTTCCTGATTCCGGGCGATCTGATTCTGTACCGCCTGTGGTCCTTGGGGCTGGCCTTGCCGTCCAAGAAGCAGACCAGGGAAGCCACCGCGTTTCCGCCCCCGGTGTGGCTTACGTCGTAGCCCTCTATCCGAGCGGGGTTCGAGCCAAGGCCCAGCATCCGCGCGAGCTGGGACAAACCCCGCGCGATCGATTCGCCGCCCCGAAGCAGGCGCTTCGCTTCGAGCTCTGCATTCTTTAGCGCCATCACACACAAATGGTGCCGCTCCCCCGCGCCGCTCTCGCCGTGAACGACCCTCACCGCGACCGCTGGCGGGTAACTCTTATCCACCGACCTCTTGCTCCGCGCCGTCTTCCCAGTTGTTGCTTTCTCCGTCGTCAGGTCTCTAGGAGAACCGCCTTCGCCCGGACCGGTCGCTTGTGCCCCGCGCTGCGCGTCGGCTGCTGCTTTCCTGGCGCCAGAAAGGAGCTCCGCGAGTAGGACCGCCCCACCATCGGGCAGCGCGTCCGCCGTCACGATTTCTTCTGGCACATGCAGAACAGAAAAGCCCCCTCCTCTTCCTCCTTTAGCCCCGGGGTTGCCGTTCAATGTCCGGGATGGAAGATTGTCGCCCCTCTCGTCTCCTACCCCGCCCGCTGCGGTCCGCGCGGACATGAGCACGTCCCCCCAGTAACGCTCCAGGCACGCCTGCAGGACCTCTCCTCTCGACAATCCTTCCTCCTCCACCCTGTACGTGAAGCCCAGCCGGCCAATGAGACGGCCGCCTCGCACCTGGAACACCTGGAAGCACGCCAAGTCTCCCGCCAGCCCCACCGCCACAACGTCCCTGCGGGACCCGCCGCCTTCCGCCGAGGAAGCCCTGGCGCCGTCTCCTCTGGGCTGGAGTCCTCCTCGGTCCCCTCCGCCGCCAGCAGCTACGCCCCCGGCTGAAAAATGCAGCGATGACCCCAACAGCCCCCCCCGCACAAGGGTCATTTGTGCCTTGATCTCCCCTGCTCGCTCGAACCTCTCTGCGCGAGACTCGCTCTCCATGCGCCCTTGGAGCGTGGAAAGGAGTTGGCTGCCCTCGCCCCGGAATACCATTTCCGCCAGCCGAACCGTCTCGGCATAATCCTCCTCAGAAACGAGACCTTGGCAAGGCCCCGGGCAGATGCCCATGTCGTAGTTCAGGCAAGGCTTGTCCTTGTAGAGGGGACGGGCGCGTTCGCGCAGGGGGAGTACGCGTCGGACGAGAGCGACGGTGGACTTGACCTGTCCTGCGTCCACGAAGGGTCCGTAGTAGCGGTCCTCTGACCCTCCACCGCGACGTGGCTTGTCTCTGGTGATGAGGACACGAGGGTAAGGCTCGCTCCAGGTGACGCAGACGTACGGGTCTACCGAGCACGCGGATGGTGTTGTGTGAGATCGGGGGCGTAAGGGAGACACGGCGATAGATAGCAAGAGAGGAACGGTTTTACGGCGGGAGGGTAGGGAGGATCGGCCAGACCCCGACGAGTGGGAATTGTAGCCAATACCGATAGCCAGCCCCCGACACCCGCAGCAGCACGTGGATCCAAGGTGCAACACAAACAGTACTACGTAGAGGTTACAAAAGCTCTCACAATTTTGCTTGTCGTCCTTGAGGAGGACGTTGAACGGTGGCTGGTGCTGTCGGATCAGGGACGCCTCTAGCAGAAGAGCTTCCGCTCCTGACGCCGTGACAATGTAGTCGATTCTTTGAGGTACATGCAAAAAGGGAAAATTGATAGCGCCGGGGTAAAAGTTAGAATTCCCGGGCGCGTGCATGACCGCCGCACGTTCGGCTCCCCACGGCTGCATGTTGTACCAATGCGGCAGTCGTACCCAGGCACACCATACGATCATGAACCAAATGAGGGGGGGTCATCTCACTCCATGTCTAATACCCTTGCCGGTGTCAGTTGCAAATGTAAAGTGCGACGGAACACGATTGTCGAGTGGCTGTTCCACTGATGCGGAGAACGATAGACTTAAGATGCAGCTGGTCACGCGAGAAGTGACGAAGGCCGCACGGGGGAGGAGCCTGGTGTATGGTGTGTAAACTTGGCACACTTCGACCGCTCTCTGGTGCACGCTCGTATTGAAATACATTAGTTAGACATCGAGCATCCACGCTACCGTACACACATGAATTGGTAAACGCTCGCTCCCTTCAGTCGTCCACCTAAACTTCTACCTACTGCTGTGTTGGACGTACTCACAGCATCGACAGGTTATTGCAAGCAAGAAATTTCCGAGCAGATGGAGCGGGGAGTTTGGGGGTTTGCTATGGATTAGAGATGGTGGTACCAACTTTGCCGCATATTACAGGATTGAGGGTGGGGGTATGTGTGTGTCGACAACGGATATGGTGATTATGTTTTGTGGCTTCTCACTTATCTTCTTCTACTTCTTCTTATTGTCCCTTCTTCCTGTGTATAATCAAGTCCTTTTCCCCGGCTATCACGCTACCACGGCCATCACGCCACGGCTTCCACGCCAATCCCGGCTATCACGCCACCCGGCTACCACGCCTTCTGGACTTCCACGTCCTTGCATATACCTTTACACCACGGCTATCACGCCACCAGGCTTCCACGCCATATCCAGAGATACCATACCCGAGCTATCACGCTCCATCCCAAAGTAGAAGGCTATCACGCCCATCAAGTTCCTACATTGTACCGTTGGCGGCTACCACGCCGCTGCTCTTTTATTTCCCAACCAAGGGACCCTACGCGCCAAGGCACCGACGCACAAGCTACTCAACATGCTGCACTTTCTATGGAAGTGCGGTAAGGAGATCACAGCCTTGGCGGTGGAGATAGTGTTACTCGGTGGCATGTGGCAATCAACTGCTTCGGGTCGTGATGATTTCGTTCTGCATGACTACACAGCCGGAAGTTTTCTTTGTACTACAGACTGCGTACCACCACACTTTTCACAGCAAAAAACAAAATTGCTATGTATCTCAGATATCAGATGCCCAACTGGGTGCAAAGTACCAACCGGGTGCAAAGTTCACACCCTAACCCTTTTGCGACTGCCAGAGAAACTCTCTCTTTCAGCTGTCACCCACCTTTCTACAAGATCTGTCATAACCGCGATGCGGCGCGACAGACTCCGTCCGGGACGCACCGCATGTTCAGCGCCGTTGCCTGCGCTGCTGCTGCTGCTGAAATAGCTTTGCACCCTCGAGGATAGGTTAACGCTCTTGCCGATATACAGCTTGCGCCCATCCCCCGACTCGAAGATGTAACAACCAGGCTCGTCCGGCGCTCCCAGGATACACTCGCGAAGCCGTGGTCTTGGTCTTGACGGGTCCAACACAGGGAGTTTGGTCGTCATCATGCGGAGAGAGTTCAAACTGCGACTCGACTTGCCACCGCCAATAATGAGCGGCCTGAGACCTCTGACAGCTGTGTGCAAGTTGACGACGAGCATTGTGCTGCATATAGTTCCACCTGCTATTCGCAGGTGCATGGGGATCTAGCACGCCGGCACCAGCAAGGGAGAGGACATGTCTGATGTGCAATGGGCGCGGGCTTCCAGGTGCGAATTCGCCAGGGGGGCTCGAGAGAGGAAGCTACTGCCCCTTTCTACATCAATTTGCGTTCCCCCCCTGCTCGTGTTGCTCGTGTTGCTCGACCCAACACAACTGACAACACACAACACACAACAGCAGTACGCCGGAGGGGGTGACCCGACTCTGCTGGGGATTTGTGGTGAGGAATGCGAGCGTAGTTGACCTTTAATGAGCAATGATCTAGCGTAGGTGATCTGCAGCATCATCCTGTAGATGTCTCTGGAAAGTGGAGAGTTCTCGCCTTTGTAACCGCCGACTGCTGTTTGCACTGGCTGCTGTATGTCTCCGCAGGATGAGAGGCCCGCCAACTAGGGGCCTGACATCTCTCACCAACCTGCTCTAGCTAGATGACGAGCATACGATGCGCGAGGAAATATGCTTGATCAACCCAACTTTATACCCCTCTGCCGTGTGCGTAACCTTCAACACAGCAGCAGTACTGCTGTACAGTAGCATCAGCGAGCGAGGTTTGTTAGACCTGTATGCTGTCCAGCAGTATACGGCTTGACCTTGTGTTCCTACAGCAGTAGTAGTCTCCCGCTAGCTCCTGTCGTATAGTAGAAAATGGGATTCGGAGGCCAGTAATGGTTTGCTCTGTTTTTGCCGAGATTTCACTTCAAACAGGCACTGCTCTGTAGCAACAACGGCAGTTCCTTATTACGTCCGCCCCGTCGGGCTCTCTACTTCATTACTTCCGTGCTTGTCCGCCGTCTGCCCATCTGGTGGCATCCCCTCCCTGTACGACGTACATATTTGTCTTCCGATACCCAGGGAAATGGACGTCTGATTCCTGAGAGCAACAGGCAAAATGAGCAGCGGGGGCGGACGAGGTCCACGGCCCCCGACCTTCGGGAGACGCACGGAGCCAGGCGAACCCTCCGAGGACCAAGAGGACAATCCGTTCGTGCGGCAGCTGGAGCTCATGTTGCAAAAATCGGCTAGCAACCGCGCGGCAGCAGTGTCGCCGCCCCCGCCGCGGGCGCGGGCGGCAGCATACGCTGCGTCGACGTCGGCCTGGCGGCCGCGGACTTCTCTTTCCAGCGACGGTGGTGGCGCAGCGAGCGGGCGGATGGTGGCTACAGGAGGGGCTTCCCAGTACGGGGGGCAGTCTCTGGTGGCTAACTGTAAGCCGGAGGAGAAGGCGGTCACCAGCAACGGTGGTGGCGGCCTTCCGCGCGCTTCGTCGCGATCGCTCTTCTCGTTGCCCGAATCCTCCTCCGACGAAGACGAGGAGGCGTTTCAGCGGAGATATTTCGGCTTGCCGCCGTTGAGGAAACCCTCGGCGGCGGCGGCGGCGGCTTCCGTGCCGCCGCCGGCAGCCGCCCTGGCGGAAGCGAAAGTCGCGCGGCCGGGCTCCGACGGCGGCTGGCCCGAGACAAAGCGCTGCTCACCGCCGAACCTGAAGGCGTCGTTGATTTCCAACGGCAGAGGTGCTGCGTGCCGCAAGACAGAGGGCGGTAGCGGCGACAGCCGCGGGGATGATAGCGCCAACGGGAGCAAAGGAAACGGCAAGGGCAAGGGACAGTCCGCGCGGGACGGAGATGCCGCATCCAGCGGCAGGGCAGGGCTGGGGATCACCGGCGATAGGTGGTACGGCGGGGCCGGGATCACAAGGCCGCAACCAACCGCGCAGAGGAGAACCGGCGACGGGATCGGTTCGGCCGGCGCAGCGGCGGCGGGCTCCGACAACGAGTGGATGTCGGACGCGGAAGACCCGCGGGGCGCGACGCCCAACGCTATTGACTCTCCAACGAGGAGGGCGGGCGGGCTCAAGCGTGGCCGTACCCCTCCAACCCATTACCGACCGTATTCGCCCAGCAGCGACGGCAACGGCGGCGGCGGCGGCGGCGGCGGCGGCGGCGGCGGCGGCGGTGGGCGTGGCAGGAAGACCGGGCGGCTAGAAGGGCGCTACCCGGCTCCGATGCCGGCCCGGAGAGAGCGGTCAAACTCCCTGTCCCTCTCCCCTCCCCGCCTGCTGGCCTGTGACTACGACTACGTCACCAGCGACGAAGAGGAAAGTTCTAAGCCCGGCGCGGGGGGGCGGCGAAAGGGAAGCCGGGGGGGTGAGGGCGGGGGACGGAAGGAGCTGCAGCTGCTGTCGAACCCTGCCACCGCCGCCGGCTCGACAGCGGTCGGACGTGGCCGAAAGCGGGGGCACGAGGACTTTCTCAACGAGAAGATCGAGGCCATGCGGGTCGGTTCGGACGAGGAAGGACCGCACGCCGGCGGCGGCGGCGGCCGCGGCGGGGGGCGTGGAAGGAGTAGGGGCGGAGCGGTCACGATGGGCCCCGATGAGGAGGAGGAGGAGGAGGAGGTTGACTACGAGGACCTCAAGCCGCACATCGAGGACCCCCCCTGGCTAGGAAAACTGGTCCCGTTCGACCTCGGGGAAGGTGGCTTCATCAACCCTTCCATCAACCGGTACCTGCGGGACTACCAGCGAGAAGGGGTGCGTGGCGCGTGTGTTTGGGAAAGCAGCCCTTCGTGGCGTTCTTTGTCGGTGCGCACGGGTGCTTTTGATTTGAAGGGGGGCGTTTATGCATCCAGCTACTCTCTGGTGATATATTGGTTTCTATGGCGGGGTGACGGGAAGAGCGAGCAGCCTCAGCGCAAAGGCAGAGACGCGTTGGAGATTGCAGGTAACCTTGTGGTGGTGTTATTAAGTTACTCTCGCCGAAGAACTCCGCGGCTTTTCAGCATCATGGGGTATGCGTTGCGTAACCCCCCCCCCCCCTGGTTCCTTTTCACGTCCGCGTTTCCCGCTGGCGTCTCGTGCCAACTAGCGGGGACTCCCTCCCTCCCTCCCCCACTCACGCGCCTGTTACCCTTGCTTGTCGTGTGTCTCCTGCCCGCGCCGTATGCATACCAACGAAGGTGCGGTGGCTGTACGCCAAGTTCCAGGCCGGGCAGGGCGGGATCCTTGGCGACGACATGGGCCTCGGCAAGACCGTGCAGTCGATCGCCCTGCTGGCTTCGGTGCTGCGGAAGAGCGGTGAGTGGGTCGGCGGGTTTCGGGGGCACTGCGAAGCGGGCGGCGGAATGCGCCGACCCGGTACATGCGGGACGCGCAGAGAGTGGCGGTCAAACATTATTCATTCTTTTTTTTTTTACCTTTTTGGCTGGTGTTTATCCGGGTTCGGGTGCTGCATGGATGCCAGGCGCAAAGGGGCACTTGCGTAGGGTCTGCGTGTGTGTTTTTTTTGGGAGGAGGGTCGGGGTGTAGGCCGCCGGCTGGGAGCCAGGCGCCGCGGGTTGGTCGCCACTCCGCTTGCTTGCCGTTGCTCGAAACACAAAAATAGGTCTATTTCCTACCCTGCAGTCTTGGCCTCTCTGACGTAGGCGACGAAATACCACCATGCTCATCCTCTCCCCTATTGTACCCTGCAACGCTACAACTATATCGTACCACACGTTTTCACCCCCATGACATGCTCGGGGGGGGTTGCCTCTCTTTTGTTTTTTTGTTCTCTTCCGATCAAAGGCACCGGGCGCGACAGCGAGGAGCTGAGGAGGCGGCGAAAGGAGGGCTTACCGGCGAGCTCGACGGGCCTGCCTTGGCTCATCGTGGCGCCGGCGGCCGTCGTTCCAGAGTGGATAAAGCAAATCAAGGTCTGGGGACACTTTGCGGCCTACCAGCTCGAGTCCGGCAGGGACGCGGACGTGAGAATCGAGGGGGAGCGGCGGAGTGGGAGACAGGGGGGAGGAATTGTTACACCGAACGGGGAGGAGGAGTTGTTCCATCGAAATCATGTTCGTAGACCCTTTTCTGAACATGTGTTGGGCTGTTGTAGACATGGAACTGCGGTCTCGTGATGACCTTTGGTTCCAAGCGTTGGGGCGGGTCGAAGGGTGAAGGTGCGTCTACACATGAACACGATGACCAAGAAGAAAGATACACGACAATTTTTTACTTTTGATTGACCGATGATGCGGATGGGGAGAATGTTGCGACCGTCCACGGCACCTTGTATTGACCATATTTATATTAGGTCATGACATTCGTATCCCCGGTACCCACTAAGAGTGGCAGCGCTTCAAGATCAAACGTCGCACAGCAGAACGTTTCTTTTTTTCTGCTGTTATGCGTAAGACTACACGCTTTTACGACGACGCTCAGGTCTGTGCCCGAAGGCGCCCATTCGACACTCGTTTTCAGCGGTCAAAGGACGAAGGAAAGAATATCACCTAGTATCCCCCCCCCCCCCTCCCCTCGCGTGTCCCCCGGAAAGGATCTGATGGTAGCCTTGAAGGCCGGGCGGTACGAGGTGGTGGCCACCAGCTACGACCTGCTGCGCGCGTGCGTGGACCGGCTGAAGAAGCAGCGCTTCGATGCCGTCATCTTCGACGAGTACCACACCATCAAGTCGGCCACCACCATGGTCAGCCAGGCTGCGTGTGAGCTCAGGACCAAGCGAGTGTTCGGCCTGACGGGAACGCTGATCCAGGTATGTGGGAGGCGTGAACTCATGTAGTCGCGTGCCGTAGTCGTTAGATCATTGGCCGAGCATCCCTACAAAGCCGGGGCAGATCACGCCGGGTTCTCGCCGAGGGGGGGGGGTGCGGGGCGCGAAAAAAAAGGGTTAACATCTAGGTACAACGTTGCCGCCCCTTGAAAAGAGCTCCCCAGGGTATATGCCCTAGCGAAGCAGGCGAACGCTAAGGGTTTGTTCGCCCAACGTTCGTGTCGACTAATCCCGTTCCCCGAAGTCCTGAGCTCGTGAATTTGAAAATACTTCTCTTCCGCCCCCTCCTCCCCTTTTGGCTTGTGAAGACAAGTTCATCCTGCTACACCCACCCCGACGGCGTAGGTTAAGGCTCCCGAAGCTCTGTGTTGAGCAACGGAATAACCCCCTGCAACCCCCCCCCCCTCCCCCCCCCGCGCTGGCCCCGTCTCAGGCTGTAGGTATGTTAGTGGGGACTGTTTCTTATTCTTGTCTTTGATCAGCCTTGGCAGTATTGTGAAGCTGATCCTGTCTGTCTTGTCCTCTTGACCCCCACGCCATCTTTCCGTTGTTTTTTTCAGAACGATATGAAAGAGCTGTGGTTCCTGCTGCACCTCATCGACCCGCTCGCCGTTGGAGAGCAAGTGAGGCGCTCACACCACGCGTCCGTACCCTTAGGTAGCATAAGAGTAAGGTTTGGTTTCACAAACACAAGGCATTTCTCGCGCTGTCTGCCCACCTATATAGCCTATTGTATGCTGGTAAGACTTCGCGTGTTTTCGATGGTCAAGCCGGTCGGCGCGGTGGACGCGCGTGGGAGCAGGACGCACCGTTACACGCCTCCAATTGGTTTCCAGTTTTGATTGCTCGGCTTATTGGAGAGGCAGGTGGCAGTATCGCCGACAATCGCTTTTGAGGCCGGGAGGAAAAAGCTCAACGCCATCGTTCGGCCTTTTGTGGTGGATACTACCCTACCTGTTATGGGCCTGTTTCCGCCCGTCCCCCAGTTTCAGCCGGCTCGGCTCACGCGTGTGCCTTCCCTTCGATGAGTTTGCCTCCGCCTTCCTCCCCTTTCCCTTCGCCGTCCAGCTTTCCTCCCTCGTCTCCGTTTCCTGTGTTTCTTGCTCTATTTTTTGTCATTCTTCAAGTGCACCGTTTCTTACCCGCCCCCACTCATCGCACTTTTTTTTTTTTTGTTCATCATTTTTATGTACCCCCTGCCGCCCTTGTGTTCCTCCCTTGTTATATTTTCGGCGTTCCGCCTCTTCCGCGATTGTTTCCACTTCTGCTGCGGAACGTTCCGCCTCTACTGCGGGACGGCAAAAACCACGAAACGAACGGCGCTGCTGCTGCTGCTGCTGCTGCCAATCCCGCCGTAGTCGCGGTTCACGGAGCACTTCTCCGAGCCGATCAAGCGCGCGAGGGCGATGAACGCTACGGCCTCAGACAGGAGACTGGGAGAAAAGCGCCTCAAGGAGCTCGACGGCATCCGCGACAAGAACATGATCCGGCGCACGAAGGTATGCGCGCGCTGTTTGGGGCGTGGCCGTGATGCTTGTCTTGTTTCGCGGCAGCAGCGAAACGGGATGGGAGTGTTTGTGGTACGGGATGGCATAATATGACGCGCATCACGTCGTTTTGTTTTGCCCGTTGCGCAGCGGCAAAGGGGGTGGGAGTTTTGGGTTTGGATGAAGGTATCGTGTTTGGTCGTTCCCGAGCGAAATAACTGATGGAAGGGAGGGGGGGTAGGGGGGGGGGGGTAGGGGGAGGGGGGGAGGGGGAGGGAAAGGGTGGGGCCCCCTCTCAGTGATTTGACCCCTTTTTTTTACCCGCTCAGCGTCTAGTCCGTCGTCCGCTGCATGTGGTTGTGTAGCTCGCGTTTCACGTAGCAGCGGCTCTGCGAGGTCGGCCCTGCGACTTGGTCTCTCGCCGGCAGCGGCTCCCGTTACCTGCCCTAACCTCACCTACCTCTTGTTTTGTGTGAGTGCATCGATGTGGACGGCATACCACCCATCGCGTGCAGTCTCTTCTCACGCTCCCCCTCCTTCTTCATCCCCCCCCCCCCCCCCCCCCCCCCCCCGGTGCCAAAAAAAAAAAAAAAAAAAAAAAAAAACCCCCCCCCCCCCCCCCCCCCC